CTCTCTCTCTCTCTCTCTCTTTCTCTCTCTCTCTCTCTCTCTCTCTCTCTCTCTCTCTCTCTCTTTCTCTCTCTCTCTCTCTCTCTCTCTTTTTTTCTCTCTCTCTTTCTTTTTGAATGCTGATGCGTTTGAATGATTGTCCCTCTCTTGAGTAGGAATGAGTTGGCATCTTGCTTCTGCGTGACTTCTTCCGAAACTCTTCCATTAGTTTCCTGGGTAATCCTCCTACGCAAGGACCCCGTCTACTTGTCTTGTGAACGATGGATGCGTGTGTATGGTGCAATGCGATCCATCTTTTCCTGTGCATGTCTCATTTTCGCACCTTCCACAGTGAATGCATGTACAGAGATGCGTGACTTTTTTGATTTGATTAGACGAGTGTCGTCGGGATTTTGTTTGAGAATGCAAGAGTGTTTAGATCTGTAGTTCTGTCTGTACTGCACATGCCATCTGCCTTATGCTACACGACATCAGCAGTCCAGCCACAAGGCGGCCTCGAAAAACAAGGCGCCAAGGACTAACGTTGTGTTGAACTGATTGGTCCCTTAGTCATCTACATGATCAGGCTGATCTGTGTTTGCTCTCTCTCTCTCTCTCGCTTTTAATGATGTCTCGGAATATTTTGTGATTGATTGACATGTGGACTGACAAGTACCCTCCGATTGGGCGCCAGCCTCCCGTATCTCCCATCCCGACGCGACCTTTTCCCTACAGTGAGGAAAGGACACGTGTATGTGAGTGGGACGTACGAGAAGTCGTTGCACAAATCGGCAGGCAGTATTACTTCCCTCCGGCCAACCGTTGTTCTGGGTTCGTAGAAGCCGGGTTTGTTATTATCGATACGCACTTCCCACCTTACTCGGTATTGTTGCCATTTAACGAGTTAATCGTCATTCCGTGGACGGCAGAAGAACCCCACTGGCCGCGCACTCTGTGCACCGAATGTCAGCGTTTTGAGCGCTACGAGTCCAGGGGTTTCCACTACCGTGTGCGGAATGAAGACGAGCATAAAGAAAGAGCCACGCGACTGAGACCCTCCAGGTCAGACTCGAAACTAACCAGCGAACGACGACGGGATTTGATACGAAAACGAGACACGTGAAGCGTGCCCAAGCCTTTCTGTTTTTAAACGACGGGCTGTAGCCCGGTGGGAGGCACGACAATACTTTTTGGATTAAATTTGGGTCCTTCTCTCTCTTTCCCGCCTTGTCCACGCGCGCATTCCGCGACGCGCGAAACGATCGACTTGCTCCATCGGACCAACACGGGGGATTTCAGTTCCGTCTGTGTCCCCACACTCAATTTCCAAAAATCCTTGGCACACCTCATCTTGCTGTTTTTCTGGGCCTCTTTTCCGCACAGCTAACACTCCGAACGAAAGACAGCACAGGGCGTGAGGTGCGCCTCACATGGACCCACATACTTCCCGACGTGCTTGCGAACTGTGGGTGCTTCTACAGCCCTGCGGACACTCCTCAGGGGGCGGAGCACATGCGCTGTGCTGTCTAGGGACCAGGGCATTTGAAGCACTTCCCGTTGGTGCGAAGCGGCGGCCACATTGTCGAGGCTAAAAATAAAAAATAAAAAAGTGCAAGGGAATTGTGGTCCGTGCTGTGTGACTGCCCACTTCACAAAAAACCAGATAGTGTGGCGGCCGCGACTGTGTTCGGAACCCGTAGGGGGCCTAGGGGCTGTGTTTACCGCCCTTGATTTTTGTCGTTTTGTGTAGAGCAGTGTGGTGGTCGTTGGGCACATACCGGTGGGGGGGTAGCGTGATGGTAGTTGGGAAGCTGGCAGGACACGGTCGCGGACCGGAGTTTATTGGGGCCTCACCCGAAATTCTGAGGGCAGGCCACTGGCGACCAGTTGCTTCTGTGGATGGGTCTCGGAGGGGTTCGTGGGCTGATTTTTTTGCGTTTGATTCGCCGCGTTGTTTTTTTTTTTTTTTTTTTTTGCTGTCAGTAGCTTCTTCCTTAACGTCGTCTGTGGGATTCGTGGATTGGATGTATGTAACCCTCCCATCCCTCCGCTACTCGGGGAGAATGAATTTCCTGCTTGAACCTGGGTAGATTCACTGCCATATTTTCTGTCTTTCGTACAAGTGGTCAGTAGTGGGGAGAGGTCCATCATATGTCCTCGGTACAGCTGGCAGATGTATCTGGCTGCACTCAATGTTCCTAATATGATGACCTTGCGTCAGGTCAACAGCAAAAGAAAAAAAATGTTTTTCGTTTTTCTTTTGCTGGTGACCTGATGTCATGTCATCAAATGCGGTTGTTACAACCCGGGGCCTTGTTACACCCTGGGGCCAAGTACCACTAGCAGCAGCATTGAGGCTCGAATCTGGACTTCTTTGTAGAATCTGGACTTCTTGTGGAGATACGCAGAAAATTGTGCTGGGTTTCAGCAGCTGCACATGTTCATAAACATGTCCAGATTCGGGCGCTAGTGATGTTTTTTCTTTTTTTTTAGAGAAAACTAGGGTGCAGTCAGGGTTTGAGTTTGTAATTGCACTTGGGCAAAAGGGCCGGTAATGGTGAATGTATATGATCTACGTTTCGGGTCCGATGGGGTCGTGTGGGGGTGTGTTGTATTTTCGGGATTGCCTGAAGTGCAATTACAAACTGTTTTCGTGACCGCGCCGAAGTTACCGCTTTTTTTAATTTCAATTTTATTTTAGGCGTCATTTCACAATGGAGAAGGCAAAAATGCCGATTTTCACCTCCCAAGTCCCAATTGCATGCTTTTTTCTTTCTTAGTTAGCCCTGCCTCGCCTGTATCTCCTGATCGGGTTTACTACCATCCTGCTTCTGTAGCCTTCTACTCATATGAGGAGGGTAGAGCATTGAATGCCTGTTGTGGGGTTCAGATGGGGTATCAAACTTTTCTTGGTCTTCTCGTTTTTTGTTTTTTTTTTTGTTTCCCGGGGCTTTCAAAGTTTGAAGCACATTCCTTGCGGATGTTAAGGAAATATGGGCCTCGTTCCACACCACTTATGAATTCTTACATTGTAAGGGCGCCCTAACTGGGCCAGGGTGATTAATTTATCCTAGCTTCTTTTTCGTTCCACAACCTGTTAGCAAGACCCTACACTTACCTGCCATTACATCTCAGGTGAGGAGGGTCAGGCGTCAAGACCTCTACCTGTTGGGCAATCCGTAGGATCCCACCCTTACATTTCAAGTCACCTCCGAGGGCTCCCTAGAGATTTTCGTCCTTTTGCCTGGTAGTTGTTGTAGACAACAGCATGCAGCAAATAAGTGTAGACGACAATAGCAATCACTCAGCTGAAGAAGAAGAAGAAGAAGAAGAAGAAGAAGAAGAAGAAGAAGAAGAAGATAAAGCAAGGTAGAACCCATGACAAATCGAAACCCGGACGCGGCAGCCCACGTAAAAAATTATCATGAAAAATGACGGGCACCGCTGTCAACGTGGCTGATCGACCGGTTTCGGCTGGCGCGACCTTTGGGGGGTTTTGCCTGGGCGGCCCTTATTTTTTAGGGCCAGACCCTAACAGCCAAAAATGTGGAAACGTTTTCTTTTTTTTCGTCGTTAGGGTGTGGTGGAAGGACTATTTTCTAAGAATCCTTACATTTGTAGTGGTGTCGAACGAGGTGCAATTTAGATTTCAAAATTCGGGAAAAAAACAAAAACAAAAAAAAAACCACCAATGGAGAAGGCATCAACGGCCATCGTAGGAGAGTCTTCGTTGAAGGCACAATCTGCCTGTCGGATCCGTGGAGTGGACTGACGTCATTGTATGCAGTCATTACCCGGGCGGGGATGCATCTGACTGCAGTCACGTCCAGAGGTGAGTGGAAAACCATTGTCCTTCAGAGGTGAGCGGGAAAACATTGTCCTCCAGCAAGGGGTTGGTCGACACTACGGGCTGCGAGCCCGCGTCCTCGCAGTATGTCAGTCTTTACCGATTTTGGGACACTGTGTGACCGGCACTACCACAAAATCCCCAAATCCGCCTTCCACAAATTCTCAATTACAAGGTTTTGGGGTTGCTGTGTGAGTATGCCCTGACTATGCCCTGACTATGCCCTTAGGCCAGGGGATGTATACATGTTTTCAGCTGTCTTCCTGGAGATGTTTTCACTTTTTCTCTCGAAGCCGTCATTGGGACGCAGTGGAACAACGCGAAGCAAGCTTTGTGGGAGTTTTCAGGATTTGTGTGTTTGCGCATCCGTCGTCTTCGTCAGGACCGGAGATCCGGTGCTTCGCGGCAGCAAAACGCGATTGATCGATCTGTGGCTGCAGCAAAACGCGATTGACCGATCTGTGGCTGCAGCAAAACGCGATTGATCGATCTGTGGCGCGCGCAAAGTGCATATCGGCGACGGTAACGGCAACTTCCGAAAGATCTTTTTTATTCACATTCACATTCATGTCCAAGTGAGCGGAGCAAGAAGTCAGCCGCGGCCGTATCCTGCTCCATCGTCGTTCGCTGGCGCGGTCTGCGGAATCGCCAAAATGTCATGTGCACTTCGAATCTCCGGCGGATCGCACAGTGCCGCGCGTGTTTTGCAGTTTGATTCCCGCCGTTCCCGCCGGCCTCGCGAACAAGCGGGGCGTGGGCGGCACCAGGACCAGCCACTGGTCAGTGGAAGCCATGATCACCATAGCCATCCTCCTCTTCGCTTGCACAAGCAACCGATCCCCTGTGGGCGTCGTGTTTTGACTGGTTGCCGCGCACAGCAGCAGCAGCAGCAGCGGCAGCGGCATCGTGGTTATGTGCTGACGGGCAATTGTTCCTCTTACTCTTACAGCTTGAGTATCGCAGCAGCCAGCCATTCTCTCTCGATCCGTAACAAGTTCTCTCTCTGTGATGATAGCGACGATTTCGAACGAAGAGCAGTTCGGGGTGGGGTTGTAGGCACGACGAGGAGGGGGGGGGTGTTGCGACCGGTGGCGCTGGATTCCATAACAGGAAAGTCTCAGCAGCAGCTGTCAGCATCCTTTTCGACGCCGGTAGGATCACGTTGGCAATCGCGAGGGAGTTGGGAGTCCCGACGGCGACGACGATGTGCTCCGTCGAAGCGCGGTGAGGCTTCGAAGCAGCTACTGCGGAGTCTTTCAAGCGGCAGCATCTCTCTTTTCCGGGGGCTGAAGATCCCGGCTCGGGATCCAGATCACGCGGCGGCGGGTGCAGTTCGCGAGAACCGTGCCGATCATCTCATCGGGATCCGCAGGAATCGTCGTCGAGATCATGCCGCGCGTCATCACGATGTCGTTGTTTCCGTTACGCAGGCTGTCGTGGCGGCGGAGGCGGTGGCGGCGGGAACGAACCACCTCTTGCCGAGCCGGCGGCGGGCAGCGGCAGCAGCAGCAGCAGCAGCAGCAGCGGCGGCGGCTAGTTCCCCTCGTCGGCGGACGAAGGTGCTGGGTTGGGATCGGGACCGTTCTCGTTACGCGGACGTGCCAGGACGGCGTGGGGATGGAGAAAGTCGAGAGCGATGGTCGTGGTGGAACGTCAATGGGGATCGTGCCACGTCGACACCGACGACAACGCGCACGACGACGGTGAAGTCCCACGCGCCCGAGGACCTGGTCTACTCGGGCCCCGAAGCCAAGTCCCCCAAGCGAATCACGTTACGACACGTGATGGCGAAGTATCGCCGCAAGGAACCCATCACGATGGTGACTGCGTATGATTACCCATCGGCGGTGCACGTGGACCTGGCGGGAATCGACATCCTTCTGGTGGGTGATTCGGTGGGCATGGTCGTTCATGGCTACGACTCGACCTTGCCTGTGACTCTGGAGGACATGCTGACTCACTGCCGTGCCGTGGCGAGAGGAGCGCGGCGCCCGCTTCTTGTAGGCGATCTGCCGTTCGGATCGTACGAGCAGAGCCCCGAACAGGCGGTCGCGAGTGCAATCCGGATGCTGAAGGAGGGATCCATGGACGTCGTGAAGCTGGAGGGAGGGTCTAAAACCCGCTTGGCAGCAGTGCGCGCCGTCGTTGATGCCGGGATCGCGGTTATGGGACACGTGGGCCTCACTCCACAGGCGATCAGCGTCTTGGGCGGCTTTCGACCACAAGGCAAGAAGGCGGAAAACGCCCTTAACATCTTGGACCAGGCGCTGGCGCTGCAAGAGGCGGGATGCTTCGCCATCGTTCTCGAGTGCCTGCCCGCGCCGGTTGCGGCGGCCATCACCTCCGCGCTCCGAATCCCGACCATTGGAATCGGTGCAGGCCCGCACACGAGCGGCCAGGTCTTGGTATACCACGACCTGCTCGGCATGATGCAGCACCCACATCACGCCAAAGTCACGCCCAAGTTCTGCAAGAGATACGCGGAGGTGGGAAAGATCATTCAGGGCGCGATTACGGAATTCCGTGTGGAGGTGGTTTCGAATAGGTTTCCGTCAGACACCTTCAGTCCGTACACAATGGAGGAGGAGGAGATCGCCATACTCGAAGCAGAGCTGAGAAGTCGGGGCATCCAAGTGCAAGAGGACCAGCTTCGCAGCAGCAGCAGCAGCTCCCGCCATAGCCAGGAGCAGCATCTCGATGCCGGAGTTGAGACGGAGAGCGGAGTCGGGGACTCGTCTGTATCCCGACCTGCATCGCTCTCCACGACGCAGGTTTGATAAAGATCGCACCGCAACCGGCGTTGACGTCATCATCTTCGTCGCCGTCACGAAGCGCGCTCACTGTCTGCTCGTGAACGAGATCGCACCGCAACCGGCGTTGACGTCATCACGTTCGTCGCCGTCACGAAGCTGATCTCGTCGTTCTCGTTCGTTCTCCTCAGCGTAGAGCTCGTGGCTATCGTCCTTAGCCCCGAATAGAACGCCCGGTCATTGTAGCTTGCAACTTTCAGACTGGATGCAGAGGCACGACCGGTTGTTCTGTTCGGGTGAAAACGGTAGTAGCATGGATGTAATGAAGAGGAGCGATCACGGGAGTCTCTGTTTGTATGGAAACATAGTCCCATTCAGTGGAACTTTCCAACGTTTTACGTGTATCGTCTCTCGATATGGAAGTTAACCTGGCAGTGTGTTATTTGTATTCGTAGGAGTAGCGGGGATGGTGGATTGTGATGGTGTTGGAAGGGGGGGGGGAGTAACGGTGACGTGAAGAGATCGCCGGCCTGTGGTTTGTTGGCCAACGCTTTCTGACGGCTGTCCACCGGGGGACCGTCGAACGAGCTCATCAAGTCCCAGCCAATCAAGGCCCAGCTGATCACGTTGCAGGCAATCAAGGCCCAGGTAATCAGGTTCCAGGCAATCGAATTCCAGGTGACCAGGTGCAGGCAATCAAGGCCAAGGTAATCAGGTTTCAGCTGCCCACCGGGGGATGGGCTAATTAAGTCCCAGCTAATCAGGTTCCAGCTGTCCAGCGGAGGACGGGCGGATGAGCTAATACTGTAATGTCCCAACTAATTAGATTCCAGCCAATCAAGTCCCAACTAGTCAGATTCCAGCCAATCAAGTCCCAGCTAATTAGGTTTCAACCGTCGACCGGGGGAAGGACGAATGGGCTAATTAAGTTCAACTAATCAAGTCTTTTAGCTGATCAAGTCCCAGTTAGTCAGGTTCTAGCTGTCCACTGGGGGAACGGGCTAATGATCTACTCAATTCGCGCAGGACCTGCTAACTGAAATCAACTCCCAGCTGATCGAGTCCCAGCTCTGCGGGTAAGGAAGGCGCAGCGGATCAAGTCCCAACTCCGAGTTCCTTTTTTTTTTTTTTTTTTTTTTTGTGGCCCACTTTCTTTTTCAAGCTTTGAATTTTTTGGCTCGATATCCCGCTGCCAGTCTGGAATTGGCGTTTCAGCAAGACTTTGGCATTACGGAGAATGGACGGGGAGAGGAGAGAGGCATGGATGGATCAGAGGCAAAACCCAGATGCTCAAAGCGAGCGTATCTACCATGCTCAGGACGTACTCACAGTAGGGGACTGTTTTACTTATTTGTGGACGTGATTGCGGTCAGATACGTCCAGTTAGGGCCGTAAATGTGGGCAGCAGATGCATTCAAGACGGAGCTAGTGCGAGTACGCAGGCCCTTAGCGTTAACTTTTTATGCACAACAAGACGGAGCTACCTTCTTCACCCGAATACAACGTACGGTCATTATAGCTGTAGTTGGGTATCTTTCCGTCTAAATACAGTAATGATGACCGTACGTTGTATTCGGGTGAAGAAGGTAGTGCGAGTACGCCGGCCCTTAGCGTCAACTTTTTATGCACACACATCGAGGCAGCCGATACCGACAGTCTTCAGAACTCGTTCGAAAGGTTGAACGTTTAATCTGCATGTCAGGTGGTCCCCACCTTCCGGCGTTGGAGAGTAGTACCGTCTTTCCCCCCCCGAAGAGGGCGTATGGTCGTTATACAGCTGAATTTGGGACACCTTTTAGTCTAGATGATACAGCGATATTTATCGTACGTTACCCTTCAGAAGTCGAAAGGGCGGCCATTCTCTTTGCAAGGCAGGTTCTCACATTATGCTTATGCCACGTTGACAGCACGACCGTCTTCCCCTGAAAACAGCGCATGGTCGTTATAGTCGAATTCCTGGCAATTTTCAGTCTATCGCTATAGCGATAATTATCGTACGTTCCGTTCAGGGGAATACGCCAGCCCGCAGGTAATTCGATATCGTCACCAGCTGTTATGTTAGCGACCGTTAGTGCGCGCTTTGTCAGTGGGCGAGCACGCAGCCTGTCCGTTAGTTACCGTTAGTCACCCAGTAGTGAAAGCGTTTGTCAGCTACCGTTGGCCTCTTTTCCGTCATCAATTTGTGTCGTGTTTTTCTTTTTACATGTTTATATCCATTCTGCACCCTAAATTTTTGTATATTTTTTTTTAAACCCTTTTTTTTTTTCAATTCTAGTGTTCCTTTTTGCCCCTTCTCCCTTTTTCTCTTCGCTTTTCCAAAGGGCGACAGCCTTGAGATAGCCTTGAGTTATCGTTTTTTAACAGACCGGCGGCAGGTAAATGTAGAGTAATGACTCTTTTCTGATTACATCGGAATTCGAACTCAGGTTTGTGTTTTCTGTCATCCAATTGTCTACTCAGTACTTTCTTTTTTTTTTTTTTTTTTTTTTTTTTGTGTGTGTGTGTGTGTACTTTCGCAGCCTGCCTCCCCAGAAACGTCGCTGATTCTCTCCGCCCCCCCCCCCTCTCTCCCCCCAACACACACACACACACACACACACGCACAAAATACAAACGCGGCCCGCTAACCCATGTGGCTGAATGAATGGCGCAACTCAGCTGGCATGACACCAGAATAAATAAGTCAGGAAACCCAGGGAGGCTGACAAACCCCCACTTCCTTTTGCCGCCTCTGCGCCTGCCTGGGCCCAGCTGGGGCAAGCAGGGCCTTCCTGGCCCGAACCTTCCTCCCCTCAATTATGTCCTCGCCTTCCTGCTCGGTACCCAGTCCGGCCGGGTCAGTAAGCTAAACTGGCTGATGCTGCCGAACCGGGGACCGAATCTCTGATACTCAGACGCTTAGAGTACTTCAGTCTAAATTGAAACCCGGCCGAACCGGGGACCCAATCTCCTACATACTAGAGTACTTCAGTCTAAATTGAAACCAATTCCTCCTACGACTTGGCGTCTAAAACGACGACCAGGCCTAACCGGCCTGTTGGAACATACTGTTCCTCCCATTCCGGACACTCTCGTAATGGACCCCTGCGTCCCTGCCAACCGAGTGCCCTGGTTAGGTCCTTGGCACTCTCTAACCTCCCCAAAATTGCTTTTTTTCAAATTTTGTTGTTGTTGGAGTGGGGAGAGCGACACAGTCATGGTAAGAGGTTTGCGTTCATTGCCTGCACACGCAGTTTCTTTTTCGTCCAGGTCGCCGTTCGCCTTTGTTTTTTTTTTCCCTCTTTTTTCCCTTTTTCAAAAAGTGTTTCTTATCTTTTGGTTTGTTAACCAGTTTACTACCAAAGCTTGTCCATTTATAGGCTGGTTTGCCTCCTTTTTTTTGTTTTTTTTGGCAAAGGTCTCCGAGTTGTCTGGTGATTATTAATCAGTTTGTGAATATGTTAGTTTTATCTGTCTATGTACAAATTAGCAGTTTTTCTGACTTGTCAGTCTTTATTTTCAAGTTTTTTGTCAGATTTGTGTAACACGAGTGCGTTCCCGGACTACCAAATATCCGTCTGTCCACCCATCAGCCATCCGGTTGTACCGTTGTTGATACTCTCTATAGGATTTTTCTGTATGAATCTGACCAGCTTATGACCACAAATTCAGCTAATAACATTGCCGTGAGCATTCACTTGAATATGTCAAAGTCTCAAAGCCATAATCACTCCCACTAGAACCTGTTCGACTCCGGGCGTACTCACTCTCGCTCCATCGTAAACGTATCTGATCACATCTGTGGCTCTACGGGAATGCATCTGACCGCTATTGCGTCCATAAATACGTAAGAAAAAGGTCCTACTGGGAGTATGCCCTCAGGTACATTCCGAAAAACGAACTAGTCCGTGTATGCGGCCGGAAGTCCCACCCATCAGTTTGCTAAAGTGTGTAAGCTGACTTGACTCCCCTGTCAGTCTGTTGACCTGTCATTGGCCAGTTTGTGGGTCTATAAATAGCTCTTCTGGGTTGCCAGTTTGCCGATTTTTTGGCGGCTTTTTTGGTCTGTCCTCCTTTTTTTTTTTCTTTTTTTTTTTGGGTACCATTCCGGACAGCAACATTTTTCGGTCTATCCTTGTTCGTTGTGCATCTAGCTTTCCTCATATTCAGTCATAATCTCAAGGAATACTCCCATGCGGACTTTCCCAGATGTCTCTGATGGCTTTTGTGGCCATCTCTGGATGAACCTGACCGCATTTCCGGCCACAGATATGTTCAAAATTTGAAGGCCTAGTGTAACCATCCCCTCAGTGTGCTCTTTTTTTTTCGGGGGGGGAAGGACCCATCTCTTGAATTCGTCCATCAATTTATTCATAATAATAAGCTTGGAGCTTCAAATATATATCATAAAAAAAATAATAATAAAAAAAAAAACATTTATAACAACTAAGCTAAGTGCGGGCGGTGCGGGCTACGCCCGCAGAAATAACAAATGCAGTGGGTGGCCTAACACGGCATTTCGGATGGCTCACCTCCAAGATGTCCGTCCGCAGAAACAACGACGGCCTACCGTGGGGCACAAAACGACAGCCGCGCGAGAAATGAAAACAGAAGGAAGGAAAAAAAGAAAAGAAAAGCGGGGGGGACACAAAAGGAAAGGTACGAGAAATGAAAAAGGAGAAGAAAAGCGGGGGGGACACAAAAGGAAAGGTACGAGAAATGAAAAAGGAGAAGGGGGACACAAAACGACGGCCAACCGAGTAAAACAAAACAAAACAAAAAGCTGCCCACATATCGGATGGCTGGCTTCCAAGATGTTTGTCCGCATCAACACCGCCTGTTTAATAGCGCGCTGTGAACATTTTGGTACGCACACTCCCCCGCCCTCGGTCGCCTTCATCCGGCTTCCCTCACCAAAACTTCGACCCGAATCTGGCGCGCAGCGCGTCATGGACCTCCCCTCTGCAGCCAATGCTGCTCAAGGAATAGGATGTAGCTTGAGGATTACCATCTGTTTTTTTTTTTTCTTTTTCTGAGAGAGAGAGAGAATCACCAGCAGCAGCAGATAGCAGCACACAAGAGTGATGGTATGAGCATACACTCCTATCTGCTCCACCAACGACTCCAATCTATTGGTGGGGAGCAGCAGCTGCTGGAAACTGGGTCCAGCGTCCCACAGAACCTCAATGATTTCATAACAGACAAAGACTGCAAGCATTGATCACCCTGGAAGCAGGGGATTAACTGAGCAGGAAGATGAAAAACGAACAAGGAGGGGAAGGGGCCACTCCAGCCCTACTGCTGGGCACCAGAACAACGTCGCTGCCTGGTCCCCAACCCTCTTACAGCTGCAGCCAGATGAAATTCCTGTTAAGATGTTATTCATTTCACAGAAGTCTTATAGCAGATGAACCAATCCGTACCATCCAGCATTGATTGCTCTATTGCAGGGGGTACACCGGACAGGGATAAGGTGGAATGTGAAACTTCGAACAATAGTTCTATCTAATCTGCACCGTATCATTGCAGGTCGACCGTAGCCAGCTGGTGGGGGACGAAGCGGTCGAGAAACTCTGAAAGGAGGGCGCACCAATCTCTGAAGCAAATACAATAATCTCTGAAGCAAATACAATAATCCCTCCTGAGGTCCTTCTGGTTGCACTCCTGGGTTGGTTTGCCTTTCCAACTAATAAAGGCAATCCGTCCCCCGTTCTTCACTGCCCAGCCAATCCTATGAGAATTGATGAATTGCTTGTGTTATATCTTTTGATGAATGAAATGACTCCTGTTGTTTTTTAACTGTTTGCCATCGCCCTCTAAGTTCTTGATGTATATTCTTTTATCATGTCCGCCATTTCCTCCCCTGCTATGCAGTTCCTCTCAATGGCATGTGTACAGCGTCTGCTCCAGAGGGCCCACGTGACAACTCTCCTCCCAATCTTATCTTAAACATATTGTTTTCAAAATTGCTTCCTGTGGGGGAGGTCCACACCTCACATAGTATCGCCCTCCAATCTCATGGCCAGACGGCCTCAGTACCCAGGAGGCTCCAAAGCCTATCCCACCATCGCCATGTATTAAGGACTTCCCTCGGGCACTGCATGAATATGTGTTCTATAGTTTTCAGAATCTTACGGGAGGGAAAGGCAGTGTGACACAATTTGCACCAAGGTATCACTAGCCCCTTTTGTTTTAAATGTGTGCGGTCTATCAGCCAATCGTTTATGGGCAAGCAGTGGTGCTCTATCTGCCACTGCAGCGAGGCCAACTTTGCTGGCCTAGACCTTGTGATGGTGAACCAGCGGATGGGGCGGATGGCTTCAGTTCCTACATTCAAGTGAGATTTCCACCGGGCCTTCACTATTTCTTTTAGGTTCACCTTTGGGCGCAATAGTCGGTATGCAGCCTTCATAGTCAAACTAAACAACGTTGCCTTTGCACCCGACGGAGACCTTCGTGCAGGTATCCACTGCCACTCCTCAGGATCAAATGGGGGGTGTCTCTGATTGAAATGCAATCCATGAATGCAATCCATATACACACGGATCCTGTGCAGGTCCTCACTCCACCACCATCTTAACACCTCTGGGGAATACCTGGAAAATACATTATCCTTTCCTTTGTGGAAAAGGTCAACCAGCATTTCGTCTGTGCGTACCTCCACTACGTTACCTACAATTTTTGTGTCCCCTGGGGCAGCTACCCAGTCACTTTTCACCAGGCACGACCCTTTGCGTAAAATGCGTATCCAATCTAAGGGAATGACAAAGATCAGCAATTCCAGGTTTTTTTCGACTTTTTGACAATGTTTGAGCTCAGCCCTGAGTTGTGACGATGTCTTCCAATCCTGATTACCTGGGTCTCGAATATCCCTAATTCTAACTATACCCTTCCTGACCCAACTGCTCCACGGGGTATTCGAACTGCGAAAGACCATCCCGTACCGATCTGTGATATTGCTATCTCCGAATAGGGGTTGGCGCACCACTTCCTCCCATCTACACGACGAAGGTTTGTCAGGC